GGTAAAAAAAAACAAAAGAGACAGTGTAAAAATCTAAGTAAATAATAATAAAAAAGAAAGCATTCCCATCCCCTCCGAGCTCGCATGCAAAGGCATACGCATGCGATGGCCCCGATGTGATTTGTGCATTAAAGATAAAAAATGTATTATTTCAAAACAATTTGCATTTAAGCAAGTGTTGTGTGACAGAAAAAATGCAGCACCCACCATTTTATTCTCTAGGGCCTCTGGTGTAAAAAATATATGTTTGGTAATTCAAAGTAATTTTCTAGCAAAAAAAATACAGATTTTTTTCATGTGAACGAAAACTGTCATAAAAGGCTTGGTCTTCAAGTGAGCGGGTGATGTCTAGCATAAGCTTTTAATGTTGGGCATAAAATGCCAGGATGGCACAAAAGCGCCTTAAACTACCCCTTTTTGTAAAGTAGACACACCAAATGATTTTCTGAGAGGCATGTTCAGTCAACAGAAGAATTTTATTTTTTACCACAGGTAAAAAAAACATGATTATACAAAGTTGTCACTAAAATGATATATGTGGAATTACACCTCAAAATACATTCTGCTTCCCGAGTATGGGGATACTTTTTTGGCAGGGATATGTGAGAGACTTTTTTGCCTAGACAGGTACAGGACCCCAAAATCCAATAAGCACCTTCAGGCTTTTAAAGGGCTTTATTTCCGCATTACACTTCCTGACTACCTATCATAATTTCGGAGGCCCTGAAATGCCAGAATAGTACAGACCCTTTTTGGAAAGTAGACACTCCAAGGTATTTGCTAAGAGGCATGATGAGTATTTTGCAGATCTCGTTTGTTGCCACAAGTTTTTGGAATATGAACAAAGAAAATAAAGATGTAGTTTTTCTTTTTTTAAACGTTATGACAAAAAATTTGATCTGGAAAATACTCCCCATGCCTCTTTTTTATATTCCTTGGGGTGTCTTCCCTCCAAAAATGGGTCATTTAGGGGGTGGGGGGTTGTGCTATCCTGGCATTTCAGGGCCTCTGAAGCTGTGATAGAAAGTGAGGTATTGAAATGAGGAAATTAAGCACTTTCAGGCTTTCAAAGGGGTCGTTGGATTTTGGGCTCCTCTATGCGGCTAGGCTTCCAAAAAGTCTCACACATGTGGTATCTCCATGTTCAGTAGAAGAAGCAGAATGTATTTTGGGTTGTAAGTCCACATCTACCCATGGCATGTTTGAGCAATACATCATTCAAGGGACAACTTTGTGTAAAAAAATAAATAAATATTTTTTTTGTCATTTTCAAAAACTTGGGGTAGAAAAAAAATCTTCCATTGACTCAACAAACATGCCTCTCAGCAAATAGTTTTGGGTGTCAACTCTCCAAAAAGGTGTCCCTGGGGGGGGGGGGGGGAATTGTGCTATCCTGGCATTTTAGAGCCTCTGAAACTGTGATAGTGAGGAAGTGAATTGAGGAATTTACGCACCATCAGGCTTTCAAAGGGTTCATTGAGTTTGGGCTCCTGTATGCGGCTGGGCTCCCAAAAAGTCTCACACATATGATACCCCCATACTCTGGAGAAATAGCTAAATATATTTTGGGGTGTAATGCCACATATACACATGGCATGTGTGAGCAATATATAATTTAAGTGACAACTACGGGTAAAATAAAAAACCTTGTAGAAAAAAAGTAGATCTTTCATGGCTCTCAGAAAATAGGTGTCTACTTTCTGAAAAGGGGTCATTTTGGGGGGTGTGTTTGTACTGTCCTGGCAATTTAGCACCTCAAGAAATGTAAGAAAGTAAAAGCTGCACAAATTCCAGTATCTATACCATAGTTTGTAGACACAATAACTTTCATACAAAACAATAAATATACACGTATTGGATTTTTTTTTTGTACCAAAAGACTTGTAGCAGAATACATTTTGGGCTAAATTTAAGACAAAATTAGAGTTGATGGATATTTTTAATAACAGAAACTAGAAAATGTCGGGGTTTTTTTTTTTAATTTTTGGTCTTTTTTCTTTTATATCACAAAAAATAAATATCCCATTGGTGATCAAATACCACCAAAAGAAAGCTATATTTATGTGAAAAAAGTACATAAAGTTTGTTTGTTTGGGTACAGCGTTGCATAACCGTGCAGTTGAAATAGCGCAGCTCCAGGATAGGCTCTGTGGAAGAGGATAAGTCTTCAAAACGTGTCAGCCTCTAGATGTTCCATTGTTTCTGTACACCGTGATGCTTTGCGGACTATTTGTGCAGTACCAAAGAGATGTATTTGCACTTTTTATGACTTTGTGAGTATAATACTTACCTGCGCCCTCTGTTTATCATTGCTGCAGTGTTCCTAGACCTCCCCAGTCCTGTGAGGGCGGCAAGGCAAGTGCACCCCATGAAGGCCAAGTGTTTATAGCCCAGTAATGTTGTTGGGCCCACTCCCCAAGTGCAGGAAGATTGAAGTGTCCTATTTCTTTGTTAAACGTATTCTCTCTTGAGAAGAGGCGCTTGAGAGGAGATATGATAGTGATATACTGTACAAATATCCTAATGGTGATTCTTGTATTGGGAATAAACTATTCAGTCTCAGGGAATTTATGAAGACACTTTAAGGGCCACTCAAATAAATTAGAGGAGAAGCGGTTTATCCTTAAAATGCGTAGGGGATTTTTCAGTCAGGGCAGTAAGGATGTGGAACTCACTTCCACAATCGGTAGTATCAGCGGGAAGTATTGATTTCGAAAAACTCTTATATGGGCATCTTAGTGAATACATTATACAGAGATATGGGATATGATTTTTGACAAGAACACACACACATCCAAATAGGTTGAACTGGATTGCCTGGTGTCTTTACTCAAGCTTACAAACCATGTAACTATGTATGCGAACATTTGAGCATGACTGTACCTTTTTCCTAATAGATATGCAGCTATCACATGACCCAGCTCTTTGTTAGCCTGTCTGCAAGGAAACAGGAGGAGTTTCTAGTCCTCTGCTGCTGGTCATGTTAAAAAAAAAAATACGGAATAAAAAAATAAATAATTAATATCAATAAACTGTTTAAATTGTCATACAGATATACAGTATATATGAAATCAAATCTTCATTATTTTTTAGGCAATATCATGGTGTGGGCAAATTTCTGCCAGTCATAGGCCGTGTCACACCCCTCCTGCCTGTGTCTTAGAATAACAGACGACTCCTTCATCAATCAAGAAAAATTCCCTCCCCCCTATTGTTTTTAGTGGCCATGAAGGAGGAGAGAGGGAGTGGGCTGCATTTACCGCTATGTATCCACCCACATTTGTGACTCTGTAGTCACATGGGCTGCTCAGATGTGATAGAAAGAAAATGCTAAGGGTAGAAATACACTGTAAACTGAGCATGTGTGCTTGCTGACTACACTGCTCTGCAAAATCCCCAACTGTGGTGGGGACATGAACAAAGGGGAGACAGAGAACAGCAGAATCAACCAGGCTTTTTTGCAGAATACAGAAAAAGAATGCCATAGTGGCTGAGTGAGTATGAACAGCATGTAATACAGCATTTACTGATATATTTTTTTTATTATTATGTTTCTATTATATACATTTAACAAGTCCAGTACAACGCTAATTCAAAAAACACCAATACCCGAAACAAAAGAAAATCCATTAACCCTGCCCCTCCCTTCCCCCCCCCTCTCCCCAACAACTCTCCTGTTTCTGTTCTTTTCCAATTTCCCCAATCCTCCATCTTTGCATCCTCCTTTTCTCGTCTATCTTAATCACCTATTATAACCTCTTATTAGCTTATTCCTCCCTCTTCTCATATATTTTTTTTTACTTCATCAATTCAGCGTATCTCTGAGTGGTTCTAAATTCCCCCCATCTTATCCAAATTTTTAAGAATTTACTCATTTTATCCTCTTCACTATAATATAATTCTTCCTCCCTATATATCAATTCCACCTTTTTTATCCAATCTTTTACTTTACTGATTTCTTGGGTCTTCCAAAATGTAGGAATCAGCCCTTTTGCGGTATTAATTAAGTGAGGAACTATTGCATTTTTGCATTGTTTCACTGTAAGGTCAGTAGTACTGTGAAATAAACACACCCATGGATCTTTTACTATACCTTCTCCTACAATCTCTGACATTTGCTGTACTATCAGCTGCCAAAATTACTGTATTTTGGGACATTCCCACCATATGTGTCATTGTGTGCCCTTTATCCCACAATCCCTCCAACAAAACAAAGAATTCTTATGTGCTCTACTAGGCGTGATATACCATCTTACCCAGAATTTATAATTCATCTCCACAGTGTTCATATTGATTGTCCCATGAGCAATTCTAAATATTTTCCTTCTCTTTTGCTCATTCAATTGTGTACCCCATTCATTTTCCCATTTCTCCATATATGGTGGCAGGCTATTGATAGTTTTTAATGATGTGGGTTTAATGAAATTTTAAAACACAAAGAAAAGACATTCATTTTAACTACGTGACTGTAATTTTCAAACCTTATTGTGCCAAAAATAACTGTCACCTAAAAAGTTATTCTGGCATGGTGGATTCACAAACTGAGCCTGAGCCTGGTATATTTTTATCAATGTCAGCATAGCTTAAAAGCAAAAGAAAGAAAGCACAGTTACAGTCATGGCCAAAAATATTGGCACTCCTGCATTTCTGTCAGATAATGCACCACTTTGTCCATAACATTGTTACAATTACAAATGTTTAGGCATTCCTATGTTTATTTCTTTTGTTTGTATTGGAATGACACAAAAAAGTGGAGAAACAAAAAGCCAAATCTGACACATTCCACACAAAACTCCAAAAATGGAGTGGACAAAATGAATGGCCAAATTGTAAGGAATAATTGCATTCCATGTTTGTGGTACTCCTGTAATTTGTAATTAACCGCCTCCCGCCCGCCGTATAGTAATATGATGGACACAAGGTGGTTCTCTCATTCTGGGAGGACATCATATGACGTCCTCCCATTCTAACTGTGCATGTGGATCGCGCAGCGCAGCGAACAGTGCTACGCTGTGTCCCTCGGACACAGCGGATCACTGATCCATGGAAAGAGCCAAAGATGTCGGCTCGGTCATGTGATCAGCTGTGTCCAATCACAGCTGATCACATGTAAACAGGGAAATGTCGGTTATCGGCATTTCTCTCCCCACAAGCTGTCACACTGACAGCTCGTGAGGAGGAGAGTCGGTAATTGGCATTCCCCAGAGGGGACATGTACACAGATCATCAGAGCACTTGTGATCAGTGTGCACTGATGATCTGTGTAGCCCCAGCAGCGCCACCTGTCAGTGTCCATCAGTGCCAGCTCTCAGTGCTCATCCATGCCACCTGACAGTGCCCATCAGTGCCACATCAATGCCACATATCAGTGCCCATCTGAGCTGCCTTTCAGTGTCACCCATCAGTGCCAGTCAGTGCCACCTATCAGTGCTGCCAATCAGTGCCGCCTATCAGTGCCTGTCAGTGCTGCCTATCAGTGCCGCCAAACAGTGCCAGCCAGTGCCACCTATCAGTGCCGCCTATCAGTGCCATATATGAGTGCTGCCTTTCAGTGCCCATCAGTGATGCCTTTCAATGTCCAGCAGTGCCACCTACCAGTGCCTCCTCATCAGTGCCCATCACTGCAGCCTCATTAGCGCACATCAATGAAGGCGAAAAATCACTTATTTAAAAAATTTTATAACAAAAACTAAGAAAAAAATTTTTTTTTATCAAAATTTTCTGTGGTTTTTGGTTTGTTTAAGAAAAAATAAAAAAACCCAGAGGTGATTAAATACCACCAAAATAAGGCTCTATCTGTCACAAAAAAAGAAAAAAATGTAATATGGGTACAGTGTTCCATGACCGCGCAATTGTCATTCAAATTGCAACAGCGCTGAAAGCTGGAAATTGGCCTGGGCAGGAAGGGGGTATAAGTGCCCTGTAGGCTAGTGGTTAAACTCACCTGTATCAATTAACAGGTGCCGACAATATAGAAATAACTCCGGCAACCAGTTAAAGTGGTGAAAAATTGACTCAACCTCTCTGTTGTGTGTGTTTGTGTGCCACATGGAGCATGGAGAAGAGAAACAGCACCAAAGAATTGTCTGAGGATTTGAGAACAAAAATTGTGGAAAAACATGGACAATCTCAAGGTTACAAGTCCATCTTGAGATCGTAAATTCCTGAGTCCACTGTGCGTAACAATTTCAAGAAGTTTACAGCCCATGACACTGTAGCTAATTTACCTGGATGTGGATAGAAACAATTGAGTACTGACGTGATATTAGAGAATGTGAGCCTACCCCACCCTCACCTAACGGCCATTCTCCCTCTTTCCTCCCACCCCTCATTCCCCTCAGCCACTTCCTACTGTACCTTTACCCCCTCCCACCTAGATTGTAAGCTCGAAAGAGTAGGGCCCTCTTACCCCTCGTACGTTGTTTGTTGTTGTTGTACTGTGCCATGTATTGTCCCCCCCTCTATTGTACAGCGCTGAGCAAACCCTTTGGCGCTATATAAACTCGAAGTAATAATAATAATAATAATAATAATGTTAGAGATGTGGGGGATGAGAAAAAAAAAACAGAAAGAAACACAAGCCTAGGGTTAGCCTAGACGTGGATGAAAGAGAAAAACTTCATCAAAGATTGCAAAGAAGGATTGAACCTCGATCAACTTGCAGACAAATTCAAGCTGACCTTCAGGCACAGGGTACAACTTTGTCAGCACACACTATACGTCACCATCTGAATGAAAAGGGACACTATGGTAGGAGACCTAGGAGGACCCCACTGCTGACATAAAAAAGCCAGATTAGAGTTTGTCATAGCTTACCTGAGAAAGCCAAAATCCTTTTGGAGGAATGTGCTGTGGACAGACGAAACAAAATTATAGCTTTTTGGTAAAGCCTATCATTCTACTGTTTCAGAAAAAGAATTGAGGCCTTTAAAGAAAACAATACAGTCCCTACATGTTTTGGGGTGGCTTTGCTGCTTCAGGCACTGGATGTCTTGACCGTCTGCATGGCTTTATGAAATCTGAAGACTACCAAAGAATTCTGGGATGCAATGTAGAGTCCACGGTCAGAAAGTTGGGTCTCCGTCAGAGGTCATGGAACTTATAGCAGGACAAAGCGCTGGAGAGTACTGAACTGGTCAGCAATGAGTCCAGACCTCAATCCCATAGAGACCCTGTGGAGAGATCTCAAAACAGCAGTTGGGAAAAGGAACCCTTCCAGTCTGAGAGCCCTGGAGTAGTTGGCGAAAGAAGTGTGGTCCAAAAACAAAATTCCAGTAGCGAGGTGTAAGAAACTCATTGATGGTTGCAGGAAGCAATTGATTTCAGTTATTTTTTTTAAGGAGTGTGCTACCAAACAGGGGCGGACTGACAACTCATGGGGTCCCCGGGCAATAGGGGATCATGGGGCCCCTGTGTCCTTGCCCAAACTCAAAAAAGCCTATGAAAAAGGTACCAGGGGCATCACATGGGGCCCCCTACTGACCCCGGGCCCTCAGGCAATGCCCGAGTTTCCAAATGGTCAGTCTGCCCCTGCTACCAAATATTAAATTGAGGGTGCCAATACTCGTGTCCAGTCCATTTTTGGAGTTTTGTGTGGAATGTGTCAGATCTGGATTTTTGTTTCTCCCCTTTTTTTGTGTATTACCAAAACAAACAAAAGAAAAAAAATTAGAATGCCTAAGCATTTGTAGATGTACAGTGATGGCAGTACAGTAGTATTATGCTCACATCCTCTCAGTCATATGATTCTTGAATCATCCCAACCCCCCTACCCCTTTCCAGTACTGGGAACTACTGGAAATAAGGGGTGATAAAAACAATGGATGGCTGTGACAGGATGTGGCTACCAAGGCTCAGTGTTCCCATGCCTCTATCTTTGGAGGAAAGGACACACAGGGGCCCAGCATACAGAATTTATGAACGGGGAATGAGAAGAGGAGTCAGGACATTCCGGGGTTCTGCTTTGATATAAGGAGTTATGTGTGCTCAGCAGGGGGTCAGATACTGACAGACAAAGGCCTCACTATAGAAATGTTGATAGAGATGATATTTATGAGTGGTGTCACCTGATCACTTTCTTCCTGTCTCTATCTACATTCCACTACATCAGCAGTTCTCAACCTGGGGGTTGCATGACCCTTTCACAGGGGTCACCTAAGACCATTGGAAAACACATTTCCAATGGTCTTAGGAATCGAGACACTGCTCCTCTATCCGTCTCCAGGCAGGTCCACCCACATGCAGATACACCCACATACGAGTACCCGGCGTGATGACATCATTGCGCCAACCCCATCACAAGCAGCCCATACAAATACAGGTGTATGTGACAGGGTTGGCGCCATAATGTACTTATGGGGACCCAGGGGCGGACTGAGCATTTGGAAACTCGGACACTGCCCGAGGGCCCGGGGTCAGTAGGGGGCCCCATGAGATGCCCCTGGTACTTTTCATAGGCCTTTTTTGGTGTGGTTTGAGTGTGGGTGAGGACACAGGGGCCCCATGATCCCCTATTGCCTGGGGGCCCCATGAGTTGTCAGTCCGCCCCTGTGGACCAGTCACATGTGTAAAGAGCAGCTGCTGTGTAGAAAGCAGCTGCTGTGTTGAAAGCAGCTACTCTGTTAAAAGCAGCTACTGTGTTGAAAGCAGCAGTATTGGAGGTAAAACAACACTTCATGAATTATAATTACTGGGTAAATGTAAAATCATGAAAATACATCCTGCATATCAGATATTTACATTACGATTCATAATAGTAGCAAAATTACAGTTATGAAGTAGCAACGAAAATAATTTTATGGTTGGGGGTCACCACAACATGAGGAACTGTATTAAAGGGTCGCGGCATTAGGAAGGTTGAGAACCACTGCACTACATCAACGTGGAGCACTGGATAAAGGTAAGATACTGAGCACAAGAATGCAAACAAAAAAAAAAACACATGCAACATTAAAAAGTATGCAAGCCCAACATTTCCTATTCCTGATATGCTCTTGGTGTACCGTGTACTTGTATGAAGAGGTTTCCTGTTCTCTTTGTATTGCTTTCTTTGTGTGAAATCGCTGGTGTTCCTGCCACTCCCTCTGTTTTCCTATTAAAAACTAACCACACTAGGCATAAGAGCACAGCCTGGTCAGTTTCTCTAGTTGTGTTGAAAACCCAGCCTGCTCTCCTCTGATCAGTCTTGTTCTGACATCCCCCCCCCCCCATCTGCACAGAACACCAATGTACTGCTATTTTCTCCTCCCCCACCTCTCTACCATGCCTTTCTACTACAGATCTGCCAGCAATGAAAGGGTTAACCATGCACTTACAACTGGGATCTCATCTGCCAGCAATGAAAGGGTTCATCGTGTCCAGTCACCAGGGATCTTCTAGCAATGAAACGTTTTTGGAATGTTAGCATCTATGCATGTGAAAGGGTCTTGCTGCAGGACCGTAATAAATGGCCCTGTGACGGGATTAAAAAAACATGCTTTTTTTTGAAGGGAGGGTCCTTCATAGTTTCTTGCACTAGGGCCCTGAAGGTTCTTGTTACGCCTCTGATAAGGAGATCGAGTTCGAAATTAAAGTTCAAAGATTTTATGACTTTTACAGTAATGTGCACAAAGCCCTCCAGAAAAAAATAAATGTTTATTGTCTTTAAAGGGAAAATAAGGTCATTTCGCTCCCGTGGGCAATAACAAACAAAATGGGTACAATGGTGCAAAAGTTAAGTTTCTGCTGTGGACAAATGGTCAGTGGATTAAAACGATTAAGCCAGATTTGAAGGAAAATGTAATTTTGCGGATGGACCGTGTAGCGTGTAATACCTAATATACAGTGTACCAATACTGCCATCAAGTGGATACGGCGGGTCCTTCAAAAAAGGCCAAAATGTATTTCATTATGTTGTGTGGAATAAAAATGACAGCACTGATGTTTGTTAAATGTAATCTCGATTTTGAAAGAGGATTTACGTGAATGAAAAAACATAGAAGATGCTAGATGAAAAATGCTTCTTTACTTTGTATTTATTTATATTACACTAAATTGATGCACCACGCATGTGCCAATTCATATACGCTGTGACGCACAACTATCATTTAAAAAATTGACTTGAACAATTAAGCCAATTGAATTACTCATGAATCTCCAAGCCTGCTGATAGCACACACATAAATTAACATTTTACATCACTGAGGGAGAAGAAAGCTGTGGGAAAGCTGCCTATGTATGTGTCCTGTAACGCAACATTGTTGTTATGATGGGGCAACTATTCATCTCAAAGCACAAAATTATTCATACTGACAAACTTAATAACTTGAGTTAACTATGTAAAAATACCCTTTAGCTTATCATATAATACCTTTAGGCCCCATGTACACGGGACACTTCTGAACGATGGAAACTGACTGCTGGAAAACATAGGTTAAAAACATCTGTTTAGCCACATTTGCATACCACGTTTATGCATATTTATGTGCGTTTGCGTTTAGAAGCGTTTTTTGAAGATAAGCACAGGAGAACCTCCCAAATGCACAGAATGC